GGGAGGACAGAGGAGGAATCCCCTGCATCCCAGCGACGCACCTGCACCTCAAAGCCCTATATGTGTGTTGGGGTGACGGAGCGGGAGGAGGGAAGCATTTAGGGATGGGGAGGAAATAACCATTGATTGGAAGCACAGCTGTCAAACGTTTCTTGTAGTTGGTCACCAGGATTGCACGCCGATTATCAGGAATTTTCATCCACTCGACTTTGCAGACCTCCTCCAAATCTCTAAGGTTGTTAGGCTGTCACTTGGATAGAGGAAGCTTGAGTTCCCTCCATAGGTTTTCTATGGGATTAAGGTCCAGAGACTGGCTAGGGTACTCCATGACTTTAATGTGCTTCTTCTTGAATCACTCCTTTATTGCCTTGGCCGTATGCTTAGGGTCATTGTCTTGCTGGAAGACCCACCTGCTGAAGGGGTGGCTGAAGGAAGAAGGTTCTCATCCAAGATTTTATGGTACATGGCCCCATCCATCTTTTGATGCGGTGCAGCCGTCCTGTGGCAGAAGAACACCGCCAAAGCATAATGCTTCCACCTCTGTGTTTGATGGTAGGGATGGTGTTCCTGGGGTTACAGTCAGCATTCTTTTTCCTCAAAACACGTCGAGTAGAGTTGATAGCAAACAGCTCGATTTTGGTCTCATCTGACCACATCATATTCTTCCAAGCCTCATTGGAATTATTCAGGTGTTCACTGGCATACTTCAGACAGGCCTGAACATGGGCCCTCTTGAACTGGGGTACTTTGTAAGCAATGCAGGATTTAAAATCGTAACGGCATGATGTGTTACTGACGGTTTTCTTGTTGTCTGTGGTCCCTGCTGCTTTGAGATCATTAGCGAGCTCCTCCCGTGTAGTTCTGGGGTTAGCCTTCACTGTTCTTAAGATCATTGATGCCACATGAGATGAGATCATCCTTGAAGCCCCAGACCGAGGGTAATTGGCAGTTATTTTGTCTTTCTTCCATTTGTGAATAATTGCAACAACAGTTGTCACTTTCTCACCAAGCTGCTTGCTGATGGTCATGTAGCTCATTCCATATTTGTGAAGGTCAACAGTCTCTGATGTCCTTAGACAGCTCTTTGTTATTTCCCATGGTAATAAGGTTGAAGATGTAGACAGGTTGGTGACCCAAGAATACTGTTTAACAAAGTAATGCCATTAAATGACAATGCTGGTTTAGTATCTGTTAATACTTAATTAAGTACTACTTGTGTTGTGTTAGTGCACATGTACTTGACCTAAATTCTTGCTGGCTTGTAGGGGATCAAATAATTATTTCCCTAGATAAATAACAAATTGATTTGTACCTGTTACATAATGATTTTTTTCTTGTTTGTTTTGTTGAAAATCTCTCTTCTGGTGTTAAAATAAACCTACCAGTGGAATTACTTGTGAAAATAAACAAACAGGAGTTTTGCCTGTAGTAATAACTTTTACCAGAGCAGAGCCAGCAAACAGCTGGGCAAGGGCCTTAAAGCCTTGGACATAAATATATCTTGGAAAGTTCACTTTCTGAACCTTTTGTTAAGTTTCAGCAAAAGCTGATTTTCAAAGTTCACAGAGCCTTTCTGAGATTAGAGGCTGAAGTCTTGTATGCCGAAATCACTGCAGATGGCAAACAAAGTTTGCACTGCATTAGCACGCTGTCTCCTTTCCTCCCTTTGTACGTGAACAGCTCCTCCAAGTGCGGCCAGGGACACTCATCCTCCGGTATTTCTCGGTCATTTTTACTGCTTTGAATATTGCTGCCCTCCAAGAAGTTTGTTTCTCCAGACCTTCAGTCCTTAGATTACTCCGAGCTCCTTTACTGAGCGATTATAATCAGAACGTGCTGCAGTGGGGCTGGGTGCTTTTTTCCAATCCAGATATCAGGGTTCATTGGTCCGTTTGCCATTGGATACCTTTATTGTCTACCGAAATGCCAGTCAAAAGTTTGAATATTAATTCAAATTGTTGGGGTACTCAGGAATGAATTGCAATTTTAAAAGTAGCAAAGTAGATTCCTTACTTTAATTTGTACTTAAGTACAAGTAAAATTACAGACTAAAAATATATTCATAGAAGTACAACTACCCAAAAAAACTACTTAATTAGAGTAACGTGAGTAGTTGTAATTTGTTACTTCCACCCCTGAGAGTGTGGTATGCCGGGGGCTCATCTGCAGAGGACAGTCCTCTAGAGGTTTAGAAACTCAAAACAACCCAAAAAACCATCAGTTGCTCTCTGTCATCCCTGGTCTCATGTCCTGCTCGTACGATCCTCCCGTGTGCCAAGCCCCCCTCGCTACCTCCTGTGGAATCCCCGTGTTACCAGCTGTTTCTTGTGAATTAGTCTGATGTATTTCAGTCTGCGTTTGAGTAGGTTTCCCCAGTCCGGTCATTAACGTCTTTTTGAGTATGTTGATTAAACCCCGTGTTCCCCGATTCCTTAAGTCCTGCCTCTACTTCCCCGGTCCGTATCTCTTACGTGCATGACACCTGGAGACCATCTCCAGCTTCCTCTGCCTCTCCAGAGCCCAAAACATCCTCAGAAACTCTGCCCATCCCGCAGGCCACAAGTTTGACCTGCTGCCCTCTGGTACAGTAGGTGCTACAGGTCCATCAAAACACGCACCTCCAGACTCAAGGACAGTGTCTTCCCTTAGACCAAAAGATCACTGAACAACAACAAAAAAATGATCAATGTGCAATATTAGTCTTTAGTGATTACAAAAACCAGTTTAATAATACTAATCCTTTTCAATTTATCTTATTCTTCCAAAGTATTGATTTTTGCTACTTGCCTCCATTAGTTGGCTGTTTATTACATATGCAAACACAGATAAGTATTTATTTATTTGACTGTGTTTTTCTAATTCTTTATTGCATTGACCAGTAGCTGCATGCCTAGTTTTGTTGTGTATGTTATATACAATGACAATAAAGCTTCTATTCCATTCTATTGTTATTCAGTCTCAGGTGCCAGTACTCTAAGCAGATATTGTGCGGTGCCGGTACTCTGAAGAGAAAAACAAAGAGGTGCTGGTACTGCATCCCTGTGAGTACTGACCCACTTCAAGCACTGAATACATTGATAGAAAAGCGTATAGTTTCATTTCCAAAGTGCCCATTGAATACTGAAGGAACATGCAGTGTAATGGCTGTATCCTTTTTTTGACTTAAACACAGGGTGAAATACTGTATGACCCATAGTTATGAGTCCAAATGATCAGTGGACGTCTCTGCCTGTGACTGCAAACTGCCTGTGTGAGTAAAAACTGACCAGTTTGCTTTGGATGTAAGATATTAAACTGACTTTTGAATATAAAGCTAACATTACTTTTGGTTTTTTATTAGAGTCAGACTGATACACAGGACCTGGTTTCCTTACAGCCATAATCATCTAAGCAATGGCTCACCAAGAGGTTTGGCTACAGCATTTCGGCATTTGATGCATTTTGTCCATAAATACCAGACACTGAAAGGCAGGGAAGCTTAAGCTGAGTAACGATTTTCAGCTGAAGGTTGCTAAACATAGCAGATAAAAAGCTCCCTCTCCACAGTGCTCTTCCCCAGGCTACTTCCGTACCGTACCGCCCTACACCAAATGTTACAGACGAACTGCAACAGAATAACTTAATCTAAAATATGTATAATTATATTACTTCCGTACTGCCCTACACCAAATGGTACAGACGGGCTGGAACAGAATAACTTAATCTAAAATATGTATAATTATAATACTTCTGTACCGCCCTACACCAAATGTTACAGACGAACTGCAACAGAATAACAATCTAAAATATGTATAATTATATTACTTCCGTACCGTCCTACACCAAATGTTACAGACGGGCTGGAACAGAATAACTTAATCTAAAGTATGTATAATTATATTACTTCTGTACTGCCCTACACCAAATGTTACAGATGTACTGTAACAGAATAACAATCTAAAATATGTATAATTATATTACTTCCGTACCGCCCAATGCCAAATGTTACAGACGTACTGTAACAGAATAACAATCTAAAATATGTATAATTATATTACTTCCATACTGCCCTACACCAAATGTTACAGACAGACTGGGACAGAATAACTTAATCTAAGATATGTATAATTATATCGGATGCTGCCTTAACATGATGTTTGTAGTCTGTTTTGATTTTGACCCTATTGACACTACTGGGTCTTAAATTTAAACTCTTTATATTGGACAGGTCTCTCTTATAAAAGAGATTTTTAAAATCAGTGAAACTAACCTGGTTAAATAAGGTTAAATAATAATGCAGAAATAAACACACGTGTGTCTCCTATAGTAATGAAAAATCATAGCAGGTGTCTTCAGCAACCACATAAGACTGTAAGCAGGAAAACTGACTTCTGTTAAGGGAAAGTTCAGTGCATGTGTGTGAGTGACCATAAACAGGTCTGTGAGTCTCATGGACTCATCTCTGACATTCTGCAGACCCAGACCTCGCTCGCCGACCTCTTGTTGCGTTCTCTGGAGGAGCTCACTGAAGATGAGTTGACTAAGATTAAATATAACCTGATTCATCTGGCATATGAAAAGTATCGGCGCATTCCCAGGGGTCAGCTGGAGAATTTGAACAGAATGGGCATCGCCGACATGATGATACGTTCCTATGGTGAAGTCGGTGCTCTCAAAGTCACGCTTGAAATCCTGAAGAAGATGAACCTGAATGATCTTGTTCAGAGACTGAATGAAGACCTGCAGAAGTGTAACCATATTTTTAACCTTTCTTGTTTTTCATATAAAATGTAATCTTTTTTAGGTTTTTAAAAATAAATATATTAAATAACATTAAATGGGAAATGACGAAGAGTTTGCTATATACTGATGATGAAGATAGAACTGAATATGAAATTCTTTCGTTTTTCAGGTAACAAAGCAGGAAGTGAGCTGGGTGACGTATCAGAGAAAAGTAAGAGGTGTATGTTGTTATCTACATGTATGTGGTGTTTCAGAAAAAAATCTGTATGATGTGAAATTTAAAGTTTCGTTTATCACAGTGAAATAGTGAAAAACGTGTGTGTGTGTGTGTGTTTATATTCTGGTCAGGATCCTTTTGAGAAATAGTCCATTTTCCTCCCGTATTTCTTCAGGGGAACTCATGACGGACAGAATAAAATGTAACCTGAAGAAGAAATTTGAGTTTGTAACCGAAGGGAAAGCTAAGGAAGGACAGCCAACACTTCTCAAAGAGATTTACACAGAACTCTACGTAACTGAAGGTGGAACTGGAGGAATCAATGATGAACATGAAGTGAGACAGATTGAAACAGCATCCAAGAAAAGGCAAACAGAAGATACTACAGTGAAGTGCAATGATATATTTAAACTCTTATGTGGACGTGAGACACCTATCAGAACTGTACTCACTAAAGGGGCAGCGGGTATTGGGAAAACAGTCTCTGTGCAGAAATTTATTCTAGACTGGGCAGAAGGAAAAGCAAACCAGGACATTCACTTCATATTTGCTCTTCCTTTCCGGGACCTGAATTTGCTTGAGGGTGAATTCAGTCTGATTGAACTTCTTCACTACTTTGACCCAGAACTAAAGCTATTTCAATCCACTGAGCTGTTTAGGTGGAAGATCTTGTTCATCTTTGATGGTCTGGATGAGTGTCGCACTTCTCTAGATTTTCAGAACAATGTGAGCTGGTTTGATGTAACAGAGAAAATATCACTGGATGTGCTGTTGACTAACCTCATTAAGGGGAATCTGCTTCCATCAGCTCTCCTCTGGATAACCTCCCGGCCAGCAGCAACCAATCAGATACTTCCTGAGTGCATCGAGCGGGTGACAGAGATACGAGGGTTCAGTGATGCCCAGAAGGAGGAGTATTTCAGGAGGAGATTCAGTGATGAGAGCTTGGCCAGCAGGATTATCACACATGTGAAATCATCAAGGAGCCTCTTCATCATGTGCCACATTCCTGTGTTCTGCTGGATTTCAGCCATTGTTCTTGAGAGTCTTTTTAGTGAGTCTGACAGGGGAGAAATTCCAAGGACTCTGACTGAAATGTATACACACTTCCTGATCTTTCAGGCAAGTTTAAAAAATGACAAGCATAGGTTTCAGACCTCTATGACCCAGAATAGGACAAGCTGCTACAGAAAACTGAAGGATGGATGGATGAAAAAAAATGAAACCAAGCTTATTACATGCTTCCTTCTAAAACTTGGTAAACTGGCTTTTCATAACCTTGAGAAAGGCAAGCTCATATTTTATGAGGAAGATCTGAAACAGAGTGACCTTGATGCCAGAGAAACTTTAGTTTACTCTGGAGTGTGCACAGAAGTCTTTAAAGAGGAATATGGCTTGTACCAGACAAAGGTGTACTGCTTTGTGCATCTGAGCATCCAGGAGTATCTCGCTGCTTTATATGTGTTTCTATCAAACTCATCAGCTGACCTGCTGAAGACTGCAGTGAAAGAGGCATTAAGGAGCAAGAATGGACACTTGGACCTCTACCTCCGCTTCCTCCTGGGCCTCTCAACAGACTCCATTCAGACTCTGTTACAAAGGCTACTGGGACAGACAAGAACCAGCTCACATAACATTGAGAAAACAGCCCAATACATCAAGGGGAAAATAAAGGAGAATTTATCTCCAGAAAGAACCATCAACCTGTTCCACTGTCTGAATGAACTGGGTGACAATTCTCTAGTAGAGGAGGTACAAAGATACCTGAATTCAGGAAGCCTTTCAGCAGAAAATCTCTCACCTGCACAGTATTCAGCTCTGACCTTTGTGATGCTGATGTCAGATGAGGAGCTGGATGTGTTTGATCTGAAGAAATTCTTCAGATCAGATAATGAGCATTGGAGGCTGCTGCCTGTGGTCAAGACATCAAAGACAGCTCTGTAAGTGATGTGAGGATGTAAAACATGTCTTTTCTGGCAGTAATATATCAAACATACAATTTCTTCCTCCTCAGGGATTAATGACTTGGCTAGATTTGTTTTTTGATATTCTGAATGCAGATTTTATGTGATGTAGTAAAAAACACAAAAGTGACATTTCCACTAACATCCACTATGCCTTCCGATAACTGGGACAGCATCCTAACCTGCTATAGAAACAAAGAGGGCTCTTTATCTGGAAGGTTTATAAGTGAAATGATCCTTTATTTGCACAAGTACTGGTATATTGTTATGTTTCTCTTCTCACTCTCCATGAGAGACACAGACACATTTACAGGGAGAACAAGCTTAGGGGTCACAGCACTGGGTTGGCTGGCATCCAGCACCCCTGGAACTGGAGGTTTAAGGGCCTTGCTCATGGGCCCACAGACATGTGACTATTCTGCCGAATCTCGAACCAGCAGTCTGTCAGGTCTGTTAAGTCAGCTGTTCAAACCCAGGCGTGAGGACTCTTCAGCTAATCAGTGCTCTAATTAATAATCTGATTAGTGAGTTGCAGCGAAAACCCACATACCCAGCAGACCTTTCTGGATAAGACTGCCCACCACAAGTTTAGACCATCGTAAGGGCACCTTATAGGGCACTGCATCACATTCTCTCCACTAGAAGGGCTCATTAATACACTTCATCACATCTTCTTGTTCTATAAGGCACCATCTCCCATGAAGGGGGCACCCTAGATGGTACTAAATCGTGCGATGGGCAGCTAATAGTGGCATTTTCACCATTCCTAAGGGAATATTTGTGATGTGTTTTCAGCCATGGGGGCACTAGAGTGGCGACTGCCCCCCCATCCCCCCTCTGAGTCCACCAGTGGCCTGTGCTGCTCGCTTGTTTTAATGTTGCTGTCAGTACTATTAACAATGTGTAGGTTATACACTCACCTAAAGGATTATTAGGAACACCTGTTCAATTTCTCATTAATGCAATTATCTAATCAACCAATCACATGGCAGTTGC